CGTCACCGCCTTCTCCACCGACGCCAAGCCCTCTGCCCTCTCCCCCGCCCCCCCTCCTCTGCCGCCAAGCCCTCCGCCACCTCCTCCGCCTCCCTCTCCGCTGCCACCGTCTCTGCCACCTCCTTCACCTCCGCCTCCCTCTCCGCCGCCACCGTCACCGCTACCGCCATCGCCTCCACCGCCGTCCCCGCCACCGCCCTCGCCTCCACCGCCGCACCCGCCACCACCCTCTCCACCACCACCATCCCCACCAAGGCCTCCTCCACCTCCACCGAGCTCTCCGCCCTCACCTCCGCCTCCCTCTCCGCCACCACCGTTTCCGCCACCGCCCTCTCCGCCATCGCCCCCTCCACCACCACCCTCTCCGGACCGCCTCCCCCGTCGCCGCCACCGCCCTCTCCTCCTCCGCCAAGCCCTCCCCCCTCGCCCCCGCCTTCCTCTCCACCGCCGCTGTCCCCTCCGACGCCTCCACCGCAGCCGCCCCCTCTGCCGCCCTCTCCACCACCACCCTCTCCTTCGCCGCCCTCTCCTCCGCCACCAGGCCCTCCCCCCCCACCTCCGCCTCCCTCTCCGCCACCACCATCTCCGCCGCCGCCCTCTTCGCCATCGCCCTCCCCACCGCCACCCTATCCGCCCCCCCGTTGCCGCCGCCGCCCTCTCCTCCTCCATCAGGGGCAGCAGGATAGCGGGGCATCAGGATATTTTCTTTTTTCAGTGCTTCGCGTAAAGCTGTGGAATGTGTGTGTGTAAAAGCGCCATCGCTTCCGCTTGATCGTGTCCCAGTGCCAACCAGTATTCTTGGGCTCGAACCAGTATTCTTGGGCTTGAGCATCGTCGAGCTGATCTCTAGACCAGTGTGGACTAGACCCTCTATCTGTACCTGCAGCTTCTGAGGCAACCAGATGTCGTCGTCGTCCAGGAATGCTACCCATTGTGCTCTGGGGCTGACTTTGTCGATCCCCGCGTTGGCTGTAACACCCATGCGCTGGCGCTGCCCGAGCGCATACACCTGCAATGCGCTACTCGAGTTGCTTGTTCGCACGACTCTGAGCCGCGGGTCACCCCGAGGCAGCACAGCCAGCGCTTCACTCGTGTTGCAGTTGAGGTCGTCAAGCACAAGGATGAGCTCGAGCACGCGCAGCGTCTGCCACACCAAAACAGACTCGACTGCGTCGCGAAGCTGGCAGCCGCCTCTGCAGCTGGTTATGATTACCGAGACGCTGTGTGCGAGCATACGACTCTTGAGCGTCGGGCTGGTTGGTGGTAGGGGGGCGCCGGCGAGGAAGCCAAGCGAGGTGGAGATCCACACGGCACCGCACCGCACACCCACCCACCGACCGCCCCGCCTAGGTGGGAAAGAGATGAGGAGATGGAGCAGCCCGAAGGAGAAGCCTCAAGCACGTTTGTCGCGCGCGCGTGAACAGGGCTCCAGGCCCCAAATGGCGTGTGAGTGTTAGAGTTGTTTGGTATTGCTAAAAATCTCTCTCTCTCTCGTATCACGTATGGGATGGAATACAGGATCTAGGTCTGAGACCGTAAGATCCGTTAGCGGGAGATCTCGGCGGGAGCTGCGCACG